GTGAAACATTCTTCTAGTTCGTGTAACCCTGGTTTGTTCACTTGTTGTGCAGACATAACTCATGGTTGCTGTGAAACCAAACACTGTGACACTGAGGAGTCAAATGCGAGAATGGTTACCCATGGTGGACAGTGTTTGGTGGAGCTCCCTGATTAAAACAAGCTTGGAAGCAGGAGAGGCATCCACTTCCATAATAACTTGCCTCTGGGAACCCTATGAACCTGGAGAAAGGACAAAAGTTATACAGGTGTCCAGGACTTTCATTCATAGTGTTGCTGAGTTTGCCTACAACTCGACAGCATTTAACAATAACAACAATAATGGTAAGAAACTGCACTGCAATCCTGAAGACACATGGTTTGAATCCACCAGCTGCTCCATGGGAGAAGGATGGGCACTCTCCTTCTGTGCAGTTAACTGCTTCTGAAAACCTCCCAGAGGGTCAGCTATGGGTCAGTTTCCACTTGATGGTTCACAACAACAACAAGGATCTTTATTATTTTCATTGTTATGTCCAAGTCTTGATCCATCTGGAGCTAGATGCTGAAAAGCCAAACAGACTCTTTTATGTAGCTAAATTCTTGTGTAGAAAATTTTTTCTTCTTTGACTCATGCCTCAGAGTTGTGCCTTAAACTGCTTCCCAGAACAGCAACTGCTATTGTCTATTATGTTTTACACTACATGTAAATGTTTATGCTTTATGTAAATGTTGCTGTCCATGTGTCTCTGAGCCCTTGAAATGTCTCAGCAGCAAAATGCTATTCTTGTATTTCTGGCCTTTGAAGTGTTTTTAACAGTAGACTGCTGTAGCTAGTAGCCCGCACCTGGAGTGAAAAAATAATACAAAAAGCCTCTTAGCAAGAACCAGGAAGGGCGTCCTGCCTCGGTGCTGGGAACCTTCCGCTGTGCAGCGAATAAAGGAGTTAATCTATAATTCTGCAGTGTATGTCTCTTGATTCATTGGGCATAAGATTGTGAATAACTGATATCTAAACATAAATTCAATGATTTATTTTATAAACTTTCATGTATTTTTAAAGACTTGCATGTTTAGAGTAGTTTTAGATTTCTAGAAAAGTTGATAGTACAAAGAGTTTGCTACCAACATTTTTTTACATTTTTAATTATTATTAATCTTCATGAAAATTTACAGAGACGTTGGATTTCCATTCATTCATTGTGGCACTTTTGCACTCAGTTCAAGTTTTAAGCAGGGTTCTCTCAGGGGTCACTGGTGGTAACCTGGTCCTTTCATATGCTGACAAAGGAGGAGTGGAATCTCTCATGAAATCTGCGTGGACTAATGTAAGATATGCTTCCACTAGAGAAGTGCTTTTCTCTTGTAGCATGTGCGCAGTTGTGGTTACTTTGTGGTTTTTGTGTAATATTCTTCTGCATAGAGAGCTCTGGTGGCCTAGTGGTAAGAAGCTGTGTTTCAATCCTGAAGGCACATGGTTCAAATCCACCAGCAGCTTCTTGGCAGAAGGATGAACCATCTCCCTCTGATACTATTAACTACCTCTGAAAACCTGCTGGAGGGTCAGCTATGGGTTGGTTCCTACTCAACAGCATACAATAACAACCTAATTCTGCACAGTCAAGGAAGTGACTGATTATAGGCTTCTGAAAGTTTTAGCTCTCAGACTTTGAGGACATTATGTAGATGCAGAATTTATGTAGATTGTTTTGGAGGAGATATTTATAACTAATGGTCAACTCCAAAATGAGGTATTTATCTTTCACTACTCCACAAATTGCTGTCTGTCAGACACTCCTCTAAGTCTAAACATTTAGATTAAGACAGACTAGGAAGAAGGATTGGCCATCCACTTCTGAAATGGCAGGCCTCTGAAAACCCTATGTACAACACAACACACGTAGACGAACAGAAAGGGCAACCTAGATAGAACTATCAAGCATGGAAATACAAAGAAAGAGGAACAGTTGTAAGCAGACACTAGTAACTGGAACGTGGAATGTGAGAACCATGAATGTAGGAAAATTAGAAATTGTTAAGAAAGAAATGGAATGCATAAATATTGACATAGTAGGCATTGGCGAGATGAGATGGACTGGCATGGGGCTTTTCGAGTCAGATGATCATATGATATATTATTCTGGAGACGAAAAGGTGAGGAAAAATGGCGTTGCTTTCATAGTCAAAAAAGAAATTTCTAGGTCCATCTTGAAGTACAACATTGTGAGTAATAGGATTATATCCATATGCTTACAAGAAAGTCCAGTGAACACTACTATCATCCAGATATATGCACCAACAACCAGAGCCAAA